ACCCATTGCCTGCAGGTGCTCCACTCTCAGCCCCGTCAGAGGAAGCTGAGATTGCCTCTGGGTCCAGTAACCCTCCAGCCTCTCCTGAGCTGCAGAGGCTCAGGGCAGAGAGGCGGAGGGAACTAAGTTCCTGCAGGAGGAGTGCTCGCCTCCAGGCCAGGAGAGGCGAGTCACCTGAGGATCGGGACTACCCTATGCCTCGGGGCAGATAAAAGCCAGTCACCCCCCCCCCCAGTCCCAGGTTACTTGGTAGGTTGCCAATTCCTGCCTGAACCCTGTCCTGCGTTCCCGCCTGCACTCCTGACCTCACCTGACTCCCTGCCCTGCCCTGCCCTGCCCTGCCCTCCGGCCAGCTTCAGCTGGTTGACAGACCAAACCCAAAGAGTGCTCACTAACGATTCTTCATTATCCTGGGAAAAAAGTGACAAGTGGGGTGCCACAGGTTTCTGTCCTGGGCCCACTATTGTTCAACATTTTTATAAACGACTTGGACAAAGGAATTGATGTGATGGTCACCAAATTTGCAGATGACACCAAACTGGGAGCCAGTGCTGCTGAAGAGAGAATCGGGATTCAAGATGACCATAACAGGTTGGAGAACTGTCAGTATTAATGAAATGAATTTCAGTTGGGACAAATGTAAGGTTCTGTGCCTAGGCGGAAAGAACCAGCTTCACAAACATTAGATGGGGAACACCTAGCTTGCCAGTAGTACACGTGAAAAGGATCTAGGAGTCTTTGTAGACCACAAGTTGAACATGAGTCAACAGTGTGATGCAGAAGCAGCAAAAAAAAAAGCTAATGCTATTCTAGGCTGCATTAACAGAAGTATGGTGTCCCGAACAAGGGAAGTAATATTTCCACTCTAGTTTGCCTTAGTCAGATCACACCTGGAGTACAGTGTCCAGTTCTGGGCACCATAATTTAAAAAGGATATTGACAAGCTGGGATGTGTGCAGAGGATGGTGACCATGATGATCAAGGGTTTGGAAACCACATCTTATAAGGAATGATTGAGGGAACTGGGTACGTTTAGCCTGGTAAAGAGGAGACAGAGAGGAGATATGATAGCCATCTTCTGTTTCCTCCTGCTCCAGAGGCTAGGACCCACAACAATGGCTTCAAGTGACAAGAAAGGAGGTTCTAACTAAACATCAGGAAGAACTTTCTAACAGTAAGAGCTGTATGACAGTAGAACAGTCCCCCTCGGGAGGTTGTGGACTTTCCTTCATTGGAGATTTTTAAGCAGAGGTTGGGTGGTGGCCTGTCATGGTTGATCTAGCTGAGATTCCTGCATTGCAAAAGGTTGGACTAGATGACCCTCAGGGTCCCTTCCAACTCTATGATTCTACGATTATTTCAGCTGGGCTGTTCGAACAACTGAACTTGATCTATTGCCAACAGAAATAGAAATAGGTTTGCTGAGACCATGGTAACAGAAACAGCTGGAGACAGCCAGAATAGAGTAGCTGAAAGGTAACTTCAAGCGTGGATAATGAAAAGCCAGCTCAAGAGATGCCTCATTATAGGCTTGGATTTCCAACCCTAATGATATTAGGAAGTAATTCACATAGATTAAAAAAGAGTATGTATGCTTAAAATGAAAGACAGGTCACATGACAACTATGCAATACCTTAATCATAGAGCTACCAAGACAGAGCAGTTCAATTATTTCAGAGAATATCAATAAAGTAATGTCACAAAACCACAGCAGCATATTCTATTCCTATTCAATAAGTACAACTTATCACAGTATAATAAAGGTAAAGGTAAAGGGACCCTTGACGGACAGCTCTGGGGTTGTGGCGCTCATCTAGCTTTATTGGCCAAGGAAGCCGGTGTACAGCTTCCGGGTCATGTGGCCAGCATGATCAAACCAGAGCAGCGCACGGAAACGCCGTTTACCTTCCCGCCGGAGCAGTACCTATTTATCTACTTGCACTGGCATGCTTTTGAACTGCTAGGTTGGCAGGAGCAGGGACTGGGCAACGGGAGCTCATCCCGTCATGGGGATTCGAACCGCTGACCTTCTGATCGGCAAGTCCTAGGCTCTGTGGTTTAACCCACAGCGCCACCCGCGTCCCTCAATATAGGATAATTAACGGTTGAGAAACTGACTGACCATCCAAAACCAATCAAAATTTGTGTTTGTTCTTTCATAGGACAACTATGATATCATTTAACCACTGGCAATTTTCAGCGATATTATGCACAGAGTAGCTTGAAATAGCCAAAGTAAAGAACAACTGAGTCCTGTCCCTACATTAATTATTTTTATATTCAAATCTGAGAGCTTCAGAATGGCCAATTCAGCTCTAAAGAAACTCTGTTATTAGGTCTTAAAAATTAATGGAGTTTGATTTCAACCATCCACTGACTCTTTATTTCTAGTCCCTTATTTTTTCTCTCTCTGTGTACTTCTCTGCAAAACTCAGGACTAGAACTTTACACACACACAAAACCCCCTAATTATTTCTGAATTTGGATATCATTTATGGTACCAATTTTGCCTGCCTGAATTTATATGATTACAAAGCAACAAAAATTGAATCCAATCATATTCTGACATGACGCTTACTTCCAAGTTAAATGTCCCTCTAATAATTACCTAAGAAATTAAAAATAGCCTGTATATTAAGTTTACAGTGATGAAAAGGCTTCAGTAAGCTGGAGAGTTATTTTCATATAAGATAGATTTTGCCCAATTGTTAAACATAAGAAATAAGTAATTAACACACTTGGCCAAATACTAGTCAACAAATATTTCAGAAAATCTTTTAATAATTCTGTTACATTAGCTGAAAGGTCACCTGAAAAAAAATATCCAATTATATTAGAAACATTTAATGGCAAGTCTATTAATGGCAGCAGAAGTTATGACAACATGCCACTGGGAAAAGTACTACACAAAAACCAGAAGTACACATTCCCAGTTGGCTCCTAATTTTTACCAGGCTCGGATAAGCCTAGGCATTAGTGAATGTAATTGTTTCTGTCACTCAAAGTGGCAATCCTGCTGAATCTCTGGTTAACCTCTGGAATCGGGAAATGACTAGGCAGTTGATGCAATGGCTCTTGAACGCCAGCTCCCCACATGCGGAGCAAAGCTAAGTCACTGGTGGTCCCAAGAGTTGGCAGCACTGAAAATGAAAAGGCTGCTGACTAGAGTGATGGAGGTGGAAGACAATAGCTTCCTCTTCCTCTTACCATACCCATCCCACAATGGACGGCCTTGATCCTCCAATCAAAACCAACACATTTACTCCTCCCATTTCACATCCCATAATGAAATACCATCACCATTCGCTCTTGTTTTCTCTCTTTTGAACCATAACCGCTTTTTTAAAAGCTGTTTGGCACTCCATCTTCTCCTTGTTATGGTTGTATCTGAATACATGCCTATAATCACGGGATTTATTTTGTACACTTCAACAGTAGCCTGGCAAGCAGGCACCATCCCAAAACTGGAGCCATCTAGCAGCAAGGGAACATCAACTTACAAAAGAACATTAACTCAGACATAACTTTACACAGAAATGTATTCTTCTACATATTGCATGCAAATAAAATCCAGTGCAGAATATACAATGGTATGCATACACCAGTCTTCTCCAACCTGGTGCCCTTTGAATGTTCTGGACTACAACTCCTAGCAGCCCCAGGCAGCTGTCAGGGCTGGCTCAGATGCAGGTCAGCAATCAAGCCAGAGACGAGCGAGAAGCTTAGTTCTTGATTCAAGAAAGCAGCAAACAATAAATAATAATAATAATAAAATTTTATTTATATCCCGCCCTCCCCAGCCGAAGTTGGGCTCAGAGCGGCTAACAACAGTAAAATGATACAATATACTAAAATCATTTCATTATAAAATCAATTCAAATCAGATTAATGGCAACCATTGGGCTAGAGTTCTGTGAAGATTGCCAAAGGAGGGAGTCAGGCTGTGCCCTGGCCAAAGACCTGGTGGAACAGCTCTGTCTTGCAGGCCCTGCGGAAAGATGTCAAGTCCTGCAGGGCCCTAGTCTCTTGTGACAGAGCGTTCCACCAGATCGGAGCCACAGCCAAAAAAGCCCTGGCTCTGGTTAAGGCCAGCCTAACCTCTCTGTGGCCCAGGACCTCCAAGATGTTTTTGTTTGAAGACTGCAAGGCCCTCTGTGGGACATACCAGGAGAGGCGGTCCCGTAGGTACGAGGGTCCTAGGCCGTACAGGGCTTTAAAGGTTAAAACCAGCACCTTAAACCTGATCCTGTACTCCACCGGGAGCCAGTGCAGCTGGTATAGCACCGGGTGAATGTGATCCCGCAGCGAGGACCCCGTAAGCAGTCTCGCTGCGGCATTCTGCACCCGCTGGAGTTTCTGGGTCAGTCTCAAGGGCAGCCCCACGTAGAGCAAGTTACAATAATCCAGTCTGGAGGTGACCATCGCGTGGATCACAGTGGCTAGGTCAGGGCGAGAGAGGTAAGGAGCCAACTGCTTAGCTTGGCGGAGATGGAAAAATGCTGCCTTTGTTATAGCTGTAATCTGCGCCTCCATGGAAAGGGAGGTGTTGAAGATTACACCCAAAGTCTGAACGGATGGTGCTGGCACTAATTGCGCCCCCGCAAGAGATGGGAGTTGCCCCACCAATCCCATATCGTCCTGACCCAGCCAAAGGACCTCTGTCTTCGAAGGATTTAACTTCAACTGGCTCCCACATAACCATCCAGCCACAGCTTCCAAACATCTGATCAGTGTGTCTGGGGCAGAGTCAGGATGGCCATCCATCAACAGATAGATGACCTGATAGATCTGACCTGTCCTCAGTGTCCCACCACCATTCCCCATGCTCTGAACCTTCATTCTCTGAGGCTTCCTTAGCTGGTGCCTCCCACCACTCCTCGTCATCTAGCCAGTTCCTGACAGCAGCACAGCCAATGATCAGTGATTATGGAACCCATAGAATTGCAGAGTTGGAAGGGACTGTGAAGGTTGTCTAGTCCAATCCCTGCAACACTGGAATCTTTCACCCAACGCGAGACTTGAACCCACGACCCTAAGATTAAGAATCTTGTGCTCTACTGACTGAGCTATATCATCATCCAACAAAATCTAGAGGATACCAGGTTGTGGAAGGCTGGGCATACACACACTCAAATAGGTCTGCATAACCGATTCGCTTTATAGGACTTATATTTGAAGTCATGGCAGTACACATATGGTGGAATATTGCATTTACCTGCATAGAGTAGTTTTCTATCTCTTCTGCTCGTTTCCAGTACCAGTCCGTGGCCAGTTTTATGGAAAGCTCAGTGGTTCTGTACTTCAGCAACTCAGGTTGAGACTCATATAAAAATTCGCCTTCATCTTGAAGAGCTGGTTCAACCATCAGCCTGAGCATCACAGATAAACAGTCATTAAATGTAGAAACCTAGGACTTTAAAATGATGCTAACCTGGGAACTGTAGTTTGTTAAATGTGCTGGGAACTGGAGGAGACCCCTCACAGTGCTACAATTCCTGGGATTCTTAAACTACAGGTCCCAGAATTCTTTGTGGGAAGCCATGGCTGTTGAAGTGGTATAAGAATTATCTCAATGTATGGCATGGATGTTAACCTATGTCTTAGGCAGACTCATTAGGATTAATTATCTTTTGAAAAATCATGTTAAATGATAACTAGTTCTGTTCTGAAAAACTAGCATCTATAAACAAACAAATATATATATAAATATTATATATATATATATATATATATATAATCTAATTTTGGAGGTTACCACTGTTATTTACATAATGGGCATTTGACCTTTATGCAAAAGCCTACGCAGAGAAAACTTATTTACCCCTACTGAATTTCTAGCTATTCCTGGCAATTAACCTTATCACTACATCAACAGGTGTTTACATAATAGAGGCAATTTACTACAGTGCTCCAAATGAGTTGACAAGCTTACCTATTTAAGCAGAAACAATGCTTTAATGTGCAAAAGCCGTTGCAGGCATGAAAACCTGTTGCCACATACAGAAAGGGCACTGTTAACACGCTGAGCCTGTAAGTTATTACTTGGCTGTCAGGATTTTACCCAAGCAAGAACAGGGGCCACGCGGTTCAGCTGTTCACTTCTACTCACGGTGATGGGAGCAGGAGAAAGATCCTGTGTGTTTGAGGCCCAATTCTGATCTCACTGTGATTAAAATCCTGTGGCTCAAGTGAGGAGGCTTGCTAAGTAAAGAATAATTCAAATCACTGCAAAGGCCATAAAGGGAAGCGTGCATCACTCCACGGCGCCATGCACATAGCAATTCTTCTGTGTACTTATACAGGTTTCACCTCATACAGCATGATCAAAGCTTGGGAATGTATCACGGGACCACAGCCCAGAGTTCTGTGCATTTTGGGACTTCCTGTTTCCTCCAGAAAAAAAGGGAGGAAGCAATCCACATGCGTTTTCCTCTCCAATAAGGAAACAGGGTAGCTCCTACACTTGATTCTTCAAAGATAGTAAGGCCAGGTGAGATAGTTGCTTAATTGCAACTGACTGGTGCTAATGTAAAAATAGATTGATATATTGCACACACACACACACACACACACACACACACCAATTTCATACACCTACTTGCACGGTGCCCTCTCACACCAGTCTTCCTCCCTATGCTTCTGTTCATTCCAGGGAAGAATTTTCAGTGCTCCATCTCTGCGGCTATTAGAAAACAAAACAAAAATATCAATGCACAGTAACAGGAATTAGGGAGGGGAATAAATACTGTGAAAGGCAGAAACAGCACTTTATGCTACTTTAATACATCCACTAACCAATGTGTCCTTTTATTTAAAATGCATCTCTGGGTTATTTGTGGGGCATAGGAATTCGTTCATCCCCCCACAAAAAAATATATAGTCTGGCCCCCCACAAGGTCTGAGGGACAGTGAACCAGCCCCCTGCTGAAAAGGTTTGCTGACCCCTGTTGTAAACTGTTGTTATTGTTATTATTATCATTGTTATCATTATTGTTGTTGTTGTTGTTGTTGTTATCCTATTGTATAGGATATTATGTTTTTTTAATGTTTGATGCTTTGTTGTGTTTTTAAATATGCTGTAAGATGCCCAGAGTGGCTGGAGAAACCCAGCCAGATTGGAGGGATATAAATATTATTATTATTAGCATTAGTATTAGCATTAAATAACAGCACACACAGAGATGCCACTGTATATGGTTTTCTCAGCTTGAAGCTCAAGCACAGGCAATTTATGCCACCAAACCCATCTTTAAAAAGGCCAGCAGAGGCACTAAGAAATAGTTCCAACTGAATGAATAGAAAGGCGGCAGGTTTGTGAGGATACAGAGACCGCTGTCAGTTGCCCGTCCTTGGTCTTTGCCACAAGTGAACAGCAAATTACATGGCTGTACCAGAGCTATTTTGACATGTGTTGCATCACATGTTTCTTACATGTATACAATCTCGTCACTTAGAAATAGATAGCTTTCTGTTGCTTCCACAGCAGGGTCTCAACCTCACTACTGCAAATCTTTTAAATTAATAGCGAGAGAGAAAATGACATCTGTGGATTCTTTGAAGTAATAGGATTTTGTACCAACTTCTGAGCAAATTATTCTCCTGAGCCAAGATATCCCTGCTGTATTGATTTTCTCAATTAAGTCAGATGTGGCTCTCTTGCTATAGGCATCTAGGGTGAAATATTTCCTGTGGTAATAAAAAACATCTACAAACAGAATGGGTGCTTGCCAACAAAGATAAAGATTAACAACAAAAAGAGTTATTACCAGACCGATCCGTTATGGTTTTAAAAGCATCATTGCCGTGGCATTTCCAGGACTCTCAAAAGCCATAAAAACAACTTGTTAAGAGACAAAACGTAATGAAAAAGACAAAACGTAATGAAAGGGAAACAGAAAACAAAGCTCCACCATTTTAGCAAGTCTTCGTTTGAGCAATGGCCATTCTGTTTCTCATTAGCCCAACCATTCTGCTATACTATTGATTCTGCCACATATTCCAGAAAGAAAAAATTGTGCCACACGGAAGCCATGATATATCCTACAACTTAAGCAGAGCTTGTCAGACATCAGGGCGGACTCTAAAACTTGTTTGCAATCCAGGACTCGTTTCTGGAGCAGTGGCATTGCTACCTACAAACTATGGGGCCTACATATGGGAAGTTGCAATGGGGTGGGTGGGGGGAGGTAATGTAATCAGGGGAGGCGTGCAGAAGGATTTAACCCGTTACTCTCCTTATTGCAGTCCTGATGAAAAATCCTCAATATTTTCTCTGGTTTGGAAGGAAATCCTCCATTGGAAATTCCCCCACCCACTTTGATCTCCTGCCATCAATTGCCACCACAATCCAGCTAATGCAATTTGCATTTTAAAGAACAACAACAACTGCATGCTAAATACAAAGACACATGTAGTTTTGCTCTGACAAGAGGAACTTTTTTAAAAATAACTTTTTTCTATTGGATTTACAATATTTTATAAATTTTAACTTTAACCATTTCAAACATTAAAATAAAAGGTTCTATTGAACCTTCAGACCTACTTCCCTGCCTCCATGGGTTGCATATTCAAGATAAAATTTTCTGAATATTTTTCCTTTATCCATCTGTTAAATATCTATAGTTACCATAGTTAATTGACAAGAGGAACTTTCAACTCAGCAAGTGCAGCTTCCAGAGAGATCTGATCGTTGCCGCTATCCCAACAGCAGTCCAGAACGCTTGCTCCACATTTTAATCCAACGAATATAACTTGCATTTAAAATGTGTCTCAACTCCCTCTGCAGCACGGCACACAGTTAGCTGCGACTAGACCCATTCAAATCAAAAGGGATCTAAATCTGTTCAGCTTTTTATACCCTTGATTTATACTGTTTATTCTCGGGGCTTTGGAATCCTTCTGTGCTTATTATGCACAAGATGCCTGCAGAGATGTAGTCTGTTCTCAATTATTTATTGTTGGGCTTTTCAGCCGCTCTTTCGTCAAAGCTGCTACACACTGCTGACGGTACTTGAAAACAAAACAATTAAAAAGAACAGCTATTCTCCCATTTGGAGAAGTCCGAGACAAATCTCTAGGTCGTGTATGATCTAATGATGCCTCGATGAATTTTGGTTGAATGGCACAGCTATTTCAGAGCAGTACATAAACTTCATGTTGCCAACTGAACTCGTTTCTGCAACTGATGAATTCCAACATAAATATGTAACACCGTCCGCCCAGTTAATCCTAGCCATGCAGTCGTAGGAAGAGTTTTAATCCCTTCTGCAAATTTGTTGTTTTGCACTTATTTTTGGACAGCACTGCCTGACTACAAGAGATAGCAGCAGGCAGTACTTTTAGTATCAGCCAGCTAAAAGAATAGTGTTAAGTGCTTGTCGAAGACTATTATAGAACTGCTCAAGCTGAACAAATCCACTTTGGCTTTTAGAAATTTAAGTTGGCACATCTTCTTTCACTCTTAATATACAAACAAATGAGCAGACCTAAGGCTGCTTTCTCAGTGTGAACCTTCACAGTAGGCATAAGAGAAATCAATCTAGTCCCAAGCATGTATCATTACAGTTTTAAAATGTCAATGGATACTTGCTGGCAAAGTTCCTTTCTTCTAATATTGTGGGAAGTCTAACAAATCCATGCATGCCGACACAAAGGCGTGCCAATATGCAAGGATGCACGCTGTTTCAATACAGAAAAATAATTGCAGAGAACTCAATATTGTCACCTTGTGGCTGGATGCTGCACCACTCCCCCCCCCAAAAGGAAAAACAAACAAAAGCAAAATTATTTTTCCCTTGCACATTGCTATCCTAAAAATGAAAGGTGGCTCGTTGTAGGAAGAGTCAACCAAAGCAAACCTACTAGAAACTAGACATCGAGAGACATCACAGCTACCACAGTAGAGATTGCAAAGGGGCATCAATGGGAGACACACTCAAGCATATGGCACTACTGGCTACCATCCACTGTAGGTTAAGATCCACTGTGTTTTAGGAATATGAGCTCTTCTTGACGTCCAATGACTAGACTGTGTTGCTGCTTCAACAGCAACAGTGCCACACAGCAGGCCTTTTGACAGAAAGGCCTCGGTTGCTTCTTAAGTTGAAAATTCAGACTGCTGCTACGTTTTAAGTTATTATAACATCACTCTTTAGAATAATTGGTCGGTGCTTTGTTCTTCTCATCGGTTACTGCTTATTTACTGCTCGTTTACTGATGGGGCTCATCCACCTTGGAAGGTAGCCCATCTAGGAGAAGGAAAACTCTGGTCCTAAACCTCCACTGCCTTGCGGGACATATTCGGGAGAAGAAAAAGGCGTAAAGGAGTAAACCCGAAACAAATCCAGAGTGGAGACCCCAATGGCGCCTTCCGGCAACCCCTGCAGCCAAGCTGGTGCCAAACGAATTGTTCTTTCCTTTGGACCACATCAGAGATAAAGGGGTCTTGTCAACTGAGCAGCCCAGGACTTCCATACACACTGCCCAGGCTTGCACCCCAGTTTAACTTCACTCCCGGAGGCGCACTCCATTGTCTCTCAAAGCAACAGGAACTGTATCTTTAAGGTTTTGCCATCAAGCTAGCTTGAGTGTTTTATGATAGAAGGAGATGAGAGATCAATGGCTGAATGAACGAAGTGGGATGGCAAAATCACAGGTATCAACTTACATTCTAATTTTCCTTCAACAGATCATGGAGGGGAAGAGACCAGGTGGGGTGGGGTGGTAGGTTCTCACATCCTTTTCCCCACTGCAGCTCCCTCTGCCCCAGAGAAACCCAGCTCCTAGGGGCTGAGGGACCCTTGGTAATGGCAATGGCAAAGTGCTCCATAGGTCCACATAGGTACTGTAGTCCTGGAGACATTCCTACTAGCGTAATCTGTTCATTACAATTGCTTTTCAAACAGTTCATATATTTTCTCCAGTCTTCTAAGAATCTCTGGTCCCGCAGGTTTCAAATCCTTCCTGTTAATTTATCTAATTCTGCATAGTCCATTAATTTCATCCACCATTCTTCTTTCGAAAGTCGCCTTTTTCAATACGACTTTTTGGTTCCTGAAATTCATTCTGATTGTGCAGATGAAACATAATGGGTGGAATTCTACAGGATGTGTTGCTGGTGTGTGAAAACAGTCAAGATCCAAGGATCCCCAGGCATGCACCTCCAGGCGGTGGAAACATCGGGCACTGTCCTGGCAGCCGGGCATCTTCACTTGGTCGCAAGCGGCCAATAGTCAGGAAAAAAATGCACCTGGCGAATTTTGAACACTGATCTTCCCTAAAGGGAAAGGATGGGGGAGGGGAGAGACAAAGCCTCTCAAATTGCCTTGCAAGCCAATGGCTTTAAAAATGTTGCATGGGAGACAAAGCAGCTGCTGTAACCCAGGAAATCTCACCAAAAGCCCCTGCTGGGCTAGACAGGGTTCCCCTGCTGATGTGTAGCTGGCACTTAAAGTCATAACAAAAGGTTTATTTTTACCAAAAATAAATAAAAGAACTGAGCAAAAACAAATAAAATTGTTTAATTGATGTAGCCAAAAGAAATAGTTGGCTTGTACGTTTTCCTGAGGTTGCAATGCCTAATTGAAAGTTGAGCAAGTCATTAGCCTTGGCAATTATAATCTCAACCTTCTGAATGTTTCAAGGAAACTAGAAAGTCTAACTCATTTCTGAGCCCACTTGAACAATGTGCATTATCCCTTTTAAGTTCCTAGCTAGTTGCCCTTTCTGTGGTCTTTAGAATAAAGCTGTTAAAGAGTTAGCTTATCTTTTAATGAAGGCAAGGAACCACCAAGCCAAACTGCACCCATAACGTAACAGCATATCACATTTATAAGCCATCGAAGGCCTGGCTCCTGTCTCAACACCAGTAACCCAAGTTCTTTAAAAATGAGCCATTTATAATATTTCTCCTTGTAAATAGATTATTTTATCGTCTGTCCTTGAGGGGTTTGAAGCTTCAAATCACCAAGGATTCATATCAGTGCTCTGCTAGAAAAAGAAAATTATGCTGCCTAAAATTAAGCACAATATTCCAAAGTGCCAGCTAGGGAGCATATCAAAGTGTAGATTAAATGCACCTCAGGCACTTGAAAGCCAGAAAAAGTCTGTCAAACAGCAAAACATCCTTCATCATGACTATTTATTTATTGTTTCCATTAGGTGTTTTGCAAGTCAAAGAAAAATGGCACTGCTGCGCTACTAAACTCGCAGGCATTGGGTATCAAATGTTTATAAAGCTGGCTCCCAGGAACTGAAAATATTTTTACCCTAGTGTGCAGACTTCCAAGATGAAATGGTAGCACTGGGGTATGTGCAATGATTTTTGAGCCCTGAACACACCAGACAAAGCAGTTCTACTATGATTATCAGTTTATACAGAGATCTTTCTTTTAAAAAAACAAAACAAAACCAGGCACCACAATTTTCAAATTTGGTGTTCTGTACCTATGCATGAAATGACATGCACACACGTTTTCCATACACCTCGCCACAGATATGGAATGGACAATTCCTTCCACACACATTTTTTCCTTTGTGTAACCTGGCAAGTGGCTTTGTAAACTACCCAGTTGGAAATCAAAGAAACCCACCTCCAATAGATCTGTTCTTATTCCAACAGCAAATCAAAATGCACCCTGCCTCTCTGCGGATATTTTAGTAAACAAACAAATAATTTAAATAAGTAAATTACTGAGGATGGTAGCTTATGGCTCACAATTTTAATTCAAAACAACAATATCTTGCAGAGGTAATGGCTTGGATCCAAACAACCTTGAGTGTTCGGAGAAAAACATGCCAATTCACTTTAGGTTGTGTCAAAAAGACAAAATGCTTCCACCTCTGTGTGTGACACGAAGATAACAGCAATTGTCCACATACATAAAAGAGGTTTTCCAATATTAGTACACAAGTCGAGCTGCAGATTTTGAAAAGCCGGGGTGGGGGTGGGGACACCCTGAAACGCTTACGATAAAGTTCCCCTTCTCCCTACGTTTGCTCTTTGCATTGCAGTACTGATGTGAAAATTAAATTATGGTGCTCGGCAAAATAAATGCCGGGGTAAACTGAACCGTCATGGCCGAGCATATCCATTTCTCCCTCTACAGCAGGCATGGTCAAACTTGGCCCTCCAGCTGTTTTGGGACTACAATTCCCATCATTCCTGACCACTGGTCCTGTTAGCTAGGGATGATGGGAGTTGTAGTCCCCATACAGCTGAAGGGCCAAGTTTGGCCATGCCTGCTCTACAGGCACCCTGCCACAAACACCTATGTGCATCCCACTTGCGTGTGACCCTGTATACGTGGGTCAGCATGAAATACATAAATAAATAGATTGGCCATCCCTTGCATGGGGCTGCTGCCCAAGCGAGGAAAGGCGGCCTTCAATCGACCAGCAGCATGGGGGGACACCTTCTCCCTGCCTCCACAACTCTGCCGTGTGATCAGAACCCCATTCTGGCACTAGTTCTGCTGGGTGCCCTTCTTAGTCCTCACCCTCCAAGGCCAGTTTCTGCACACACCGCTTCCCTTCAGGCAGGCAGGCAGGCTCAGGATAGGTCAGGCAGCAGCCCCAAGAGATTTCCAACGTTAGTCTCTCTCTCTCTCTCTCTCTCTCTCTCTCTCTCTCTCTCCTCTCCCCACATGCCCTCCCTATCAAAGTGGGGTGCTCCCCACTTTACGCAATTTCACTTAAGCGCACGGGGGCCTTGAATGCTGCCCTCACGTAAGCGGGGGTGATGCCTATACTAAAACCTATAACAGGGCCAAATTAAGAGAAGGGAGCAAGTAAATATGGCATAATGGGATCGATGCTGAAATTCCACATAGACAGATGTTTCAAGATCCTACAATTTATATGATATGCTGCAGTAACTGAGTCAACATGTTTGCTATGGAACCCTGAACATTATGGTTCTATGGAGGAGGAGGCTGGGAATTTCTATTAGAGAATTCCTGGCCTTCCCACCAAACGAATTCCCGGCTCTGATAGAAGCCATGACCTCCCAACAATGACCTGGTTTGCACATATATGGTAAGGTAAAGGTAAAGGGACCCCTGACCATTAGGTCTAGTCGTGGCCGAATCTGGGGTTGCAGCAGTCATCTCGCTTTGCTGGCTGGCGTACAGCGTCCGGGTCATGTGGCCAGCATGACTAAGCTGCTTCTGGCAAACCAGAGCAGTGCACGGAAACGCCGTTTACCTTCCCGCTGGAGCAGTACCTATTTATCTACTTGCACTCTGGCGTGCTTTCGAACTGCTAGGTTGGCAGGAGCAGGAACCGAGCAACGGGAGCTCACCCCGTCGCAGGGATTCGAACCATAGCGTCTCTGATCAGGCTAGGGGCTGGGACATTGGTAGAGCTTCTGTTTGCATGTCCAATGTCCTAGGTTCAATCCCAGGAGTCTCTAGGCAGGGCTGCAATGAATTCCCTGTCTGAAATTCCAGACAGCTGCTTCCAGTCAGTGTAGATAACAGTGACTTAGATCGGGCTTCCTCAAACTCGGCCCTCCAGATGTTTTGAGACTACAATTCCCACCATCCCTGACCACTGGTCCTGCTAGCTAGTGATCATGGGAGTTGTAGGGCAAAACATCTGGAGGGCCGAGGCTGAGGAAGCCTGACTTAGATAGACCAATGGTATAAGGCAGATTCCTGTGATAAGCATCCCAAATCTGCCCAGTGATGAAGCTATGGGTTGCTCCTTGCTGTTGACTAAAGAGCCTTGGTTTGTTTTAACTATGGCTTCATGTTACATGGAAAGCCAACACCTTTCTTTAAGTACTGCTTCGTTGGCCAGTCCACCCCAGATATCCTAATGCAGGTATCCTCAACCTTTTGCCCTCCAGATGTTTTGGCCTACAACTCCCATGATCCCTAGCTAACAGGACCAGTGGTCAGGGATGATGGGAATTGTAGTCCAAAACATCTGGAGGGCAAAAGGTTGGGGATGCCTGTCCAAAAGCATGAAACAAGAGCTAGAAAACAAACCCAGCTTTGGAGAGACAAGCCATGGTTTGTTTCATCACCTATGGAATGTGCATAAGCCCGTTAAATAAACCATAGCTTACCCCACCCCTGAACTAAACAGAGCCATGTCTGATGTTGTCAGTACTGGTAGCGCAGTAGTTTCTAATATTAAGTAACCCTTCTGACAAAACCAGAGCAGTTTGTCTTGGTTAACAGGAAGCTCAGCGTATTCCTACCCACCCGTGACACAAATCAATAGCAAACTGGGGTGGTTGTGGGGGAAGGAAAAGCCACAATCAATTGAACAGGATAGGATTCTAGCCACAAAGCTTTAGAATTTCTGTTTACTTGGACAAATATGTAAAACTAAGGAGAAGAATTCTCTGTTTGTGGTTAATTTCCAGCAAGCCCATTTCAAACTGTGGTTTCTGAAGCTGGCTTGCTGGATATAGCGTTAACCACACTTCCTAGATCTGGATGAGATGGTTAACAAAAAGAAAGAAGTCCAAACTCTCCCCAGCCACACAGGAGGAAGAGTGTGAGCCTAAAGCTTGCTGCAGCGCGTCCACATGATGCTAAAAGCATGCTCAACAATGGTTTAGTGTGGCATGCAAATTCAGAACCTGTCTTCCAAAACGCTTAGGTCATTTTCAAGAGAAATATCAGGCATGTGCAAGTACCTGGGCCATTCCATAACATTTGGTTTCGGGCCTTTTCCCAGCCGGCTCTAAGGTTAATGCATTATTTAACTCAACTGAAAATAAAAATTACCTATTTCCTTTCATTTTTACAAAAAAAAGCAGAGACTTGCAGCTGTCAACTTTGGCAGCTACTTTCCAAAAAGCCCTGCTGTGCAAAACTTTCAAGGCAGGCCCTTTCCGCTTTCAGGGAAAGATATATACAAAAGCAAATATACAGCCAAATGTGGCATTTAAGAAGAAAGGCATCTTTTAATTATAGGGCTGAAGCACTGAACACTTAGAACACCAACAGAGTGGGGGAGTAACAAACACACTCAGCTGAACAGAATGGGATTCTGGTCACAGGATTTAGAATTTCATTTCATTTGCATAGATGGGTAAATTTCTATACTGCCCACATTTACACATAACCCTAAACTGAAGCATGGCTGGGGCAAAAATGCTGGATCCCAGGAATGAGATTGTAGCCTCTAATTGGACTTAACAGAACCAAGTCACTGTAAAGATAAAGAGATATAAAAATGTAAAGGAGTGGCTTGCGATATCTATCTCCATTGGATTTCATGCAGATTTAACAAAGCAAACACTATTAGGACTGAGATGAAGGCAGTGGAGGCTGGTCTATTTGGCGAACTAGGGCAATGCCCCACCAAGCTGCTTTGATTCCCCCAACCCCAGCTGCCCTACTTACAACCTTGGCATGGCCTTGGCTATCCCTTGTAGAACCCAGCAGGAGGAGGGTGGGGACAATTCCAGAATTAGTTGGCCCCGCCTGTCATCTGTTCGATATCCTGCATTCCACCCAATGGGCACCAGCCGCCATTGGACAAAACATGAAATGGTTCAGCCTAAGAGGAAAATCTGATAAAGTTTCACTGAAGACAAAGGACCACGTGCATGGATTTCTGCTTTAAAGTAGCGTTCCTTCCTTTTTTTTCTTTTTTTACTGCAGCCATAATATGCTCTTCAGCAAAGTTACAGCTGTTAAGGGAATCGTTTATTTGAATTTCCTGACTTTGGTGATACTAATATGTTGACTATAGCACAGCAATATTGTAGTCTAATGCATTACAAACAAAAACAGGAAATTGCAAGGCTTTGGCTATGTGCATTTATAATGCTGGGGAAGGCCATTATTTTCCAGACGGATTACCTCTTAAATTCAAATGGCAATGATTCTCACAATAAACCAAGACTTCCAACTGTCTAATTTTAAAGGAAAATTGAAAAAAAGAATGTCTCTCCTGTCTATGCAGCTAAACATACACCAATTTTGCCAGCAGATAGATAGACAGACAGACAATCATCTAACAAAACAAATTTAAATCCTCATAGCAAAATGTTTCAACTTCTGCCTTCATTAATTGTTCTGATAAAAATGAAGCTGTTTCCGTGGTGACAGGTACAGAGCTTTGAGGATAGAGGCTCAAAGTTCTATATCCACCACCTCAGAAACAGTACCATTTTTATCATAGCAACTGAAGGCGGAAGCCGAATCATTTTGCTATAATAATTTAAAATTTCTGTTTTGTTAGTCATGGTAATAAATTTATGCTTTCAGTGATCAGCTGCATCCCACCAAGATTGAAAACAAACTTGTCTGAAGTTGATGCTTTCATTATTCTGTCTCCTCATGTCTGTGTGCATTTAGAGGAGGAAAGGGAGAAGGGAGAAGAGGGAGGGGGAGATAAAGAGTTTTAGGGGGAAGGGAGAAATATCGCCATTTAGCTAGATAACAAATTCTGCCTTCTGGCAATGCCAAATAGCTCACAAATATGACTATTATCAGGATGAAAGCGAAGAGGGAGAGAAGGTGACAACAGTCTGACAGCCAAGAATATAGCTGGACGAGATGTTGCTGGAAATATAGGCTGACCCTGAACTCACATTAAGAGGAAAATACATTTTCAAAATGTTAGTGCTTCATCCACTGTCGGCCCTTTTTTCCTGTCCTCCCACTCTCACCTTTGTGATTCTGCCGTGCTGCTCTGTATTATCAGGAAGAAACTTGTCCTCTGTCAAACCTCCTTGTAAAACACATTCTTTAAAGGTACTTTCGCCAAACTGGCGAAAACCTCCAGAAATTTTGGGCTACAACTCCCATCAGCCCCAGCCAGCAGTGGTTGGAGGTGATGAGTAGGGCTTGCTAACCTTTTTGAACCAGTGGACACATTTCAAACTTTGCTGGGGCCACCAGTCACAAAATTGTTGGATATTTTCTCTCTCTGTATGAGAATCATTTGTTCCAGAAACAAGGAAGAAGTTTCAGGAAGCAGTAGAAGGCTGAGATTGTGTTGTCTATGCAAGGACGTTTTCTGTGGGAACTGGTTTTTGGACATGCACAGTGTGACAGGGAGTACCAATAACGGTTCTGTGAAACTCGTTGTAACTTGTTGTGAGTCTCTTGCTTGTGCCTTGCTATTAGAGAAGCAGAGAGAGAGTCTTGAACTCTTGTTGGACTCTAGCATGCCTTGACCATGGCAGCAGTGAATGTCTGTAGATATTTGCTACCAATTTGCTTTTACGCCTGTCAAGTAAACTTTTTTACTTGACTGAATCTTTATGGCATCCATGAGTGTCTATTGCCTACTGTGTGTACCTTCAACCCCAAAGACGCTTCCAAGGAAGGAGCTGCGTTGAGATGTAACTCTGCAGAGTATGGCACACACGATAAGCAAAAGTGATGCCGGAACCAATCCTTCTAAATCATCCATCAGAGGTTGATGGGTTGATCCAACAAAAATGGCTGCAATGGCGCCTGCCATAATACAAAAATGGCAGGCATGGAGAGTGCAGCCTAACATATAATCAGAGAGACAACCACCCATAACAGCTTTATGCTTACCATAGGAAGCCAGCAATGTTCAGCTGGCCCTGACTGGAAAGGTAACACAATATTGATTACACACACATGCTGATGCTGTCTAATAACAACAGTAGCAGGAAAAATATACAAGTTGGCCACATCAAACTCGCTCTCATCGTTTAGAAGGTACCTGCACACTTTACTCCATGACTTACTTTCTAGAAGGGCTGGAGTAGGGTGATAGATCACCTGAAAGTCCATATCATGATATCAGTTTCATAGTTTTTGAGCTGGCAATACATTGCATATCATGATGTGTGTCTGTGTGCTATGAAAAATCACCAGGTGGGGGAAAATGTGAAGCCAGCCAATGCCTCTACATATCACATTGTGATGTTTCGCTAGTAATATATCACAATGTTGAAACCCAGATATCGCCCACCATTAGGCTGGAGACTGACTTTTCGTTTGGTTTTGTTCAATGATTTGCAAGCAAAAGGCACCTTTAAAACCTTCCCAGAGGAATGCCACACACGTGTGGCTGAAATGAGGAATTGTCTAAATTCAAACGGAGGGTTTTTGTGCTGCAAGGTCCGCAAATTCTCCTCTCCCACTGCAACCCCATAAGAGTAAGACAGCCCACAAAGTTCTGTAGGTCGCCCCGATCCTCCAGAGAGATTTTTAGGGTGAAATGCAACAGCTGCGGGTGTTGGGGGGGGGAGGAAGTGGAAACATGCAGCTGTGGAAGCTTGCCTTCTGCTTGGCAATATTGAATATATAGCAGAAGCACTTCACCACCCCAGATCAAAGTTTGGGGGTGGCGTCATTAAAAGAAAATGCAGTAAAAGAGAGAACAAAACTGCCACCGAAGTACAAAGCCAAGCGTGTTTTATCTCTGGTGCTCCTTTAAAAGCTTCCGAGGAGCAAACCACACAGTCATGAGTTAGATTTTGATTAGGTTGTCTAATCGGCTTTTCACTTTTATAGGGAAAAAAGGAAATCACATTATGCGTTTCGCAAGAGTGACAAAGCCGGATGTAGCGCTGTAATCTTATTTCTCTATCCACTACGCAGCACACCAGTGCTCTCACATGTGACAATCCTGTCTGCGAGATCTAAAAATACGCTGTTAAAAAGTCCCATAAACTTACTTTAAAAGACTCCAGCACAATAGAAGGAAGAAGCTATCATGGCCTGAATTAGGTAATATAAAATCTAATAAAAATCCTATAATTTAGACTAGCAAATGCCATTTTCCCCAGAAGGTTAATAATCCTTTAAAGTGTGTTACCTTTTAAAGACTTCACATTCTTTTGAGGAACTGAGCAAGGAAGAGAGTAGGGGAATAAAGGTTTGGAAGTAAGGGTTTTATTTTGAGCTATCAAATGCAATAGAATTATAACACATTCTATCTACACCAGATATATCATTATGAGTGCATTCCTCTGGTTTAAGAGAGACAGACTGCTTAAGACAGCGTCTAAACTTAGAGCCAATCTAAAAAATCATTTTTGTCTTTTGCTCTCAGTTACAAAAATGTGAACTGCTGTTTTCAAGGAACTCCCGAACTAGTTTGTTAAGGCCTATTTGGAGACTCTATGGCCCCAAACAAAAAAATATCAAAAATTTCAAGGGAGCAAGGGGAGGAAACCAGTGGGATTTCATAAAATAAAATAAAAAGAGGGGACAAATACATGGGAAAGAACACAGATTAAACTGTGAAAGCAGTTTTGGCTCAGCTCCTTTGTGAACAGTAGAGATGGTTGGATTTGTGCCAATTCTGGACGTGTTCATTCATAAGTCCAAGTGGGGTGAACTAGGTCCATTCAACATTAAAATGCAGAAGAAATGAAGTCTTCCTCAATCCTTGCTCCCAGGTACTCTTGCCTATAGCTGTGCTCATTAATTTATTTTAACGTTACAAGATAGTAATAATAATAATAATAATAATAATAATAATAATAATAATAATAATTTATATCCTGCCCTCCCCAGCTGGAGCCGGGCTCAGGGCGGCTAACAACAATAAAACAGTACAACAGTACAACACAACACAACAACACAACACAACACAACACAACACAACACAACACAACACAACACAACACTCTAAAACCATTCATTATAAAATTAATTCAAATCAAACCAATGGCAAACACTCGGCCAGAGCTCCGCGAGGATTGCCGAAGGAGGGAGTCAGGCTGTGCCCTGGCCAAAGGCCTGGTGGAACAGCTCTGTCTTGCAGGCCCTGCGGAAAGATGTCAAGTCCCGCAGGGCCCTGATCTCTTGTGACAGAGTGTTCCACCAGATCGGAGCCACAGCCGAAAAAGCCCTGGCTCTAGTTGAGGCCAGCCTAACCTCTCTGTGGCCTGGGACCTTCAAGATCTTTTTATTTGAAGACCGTAAGTTTCTCTGTGGTATAGCCAAGAATTTCTCCCTTTTTGTTTGTTTGAAGAAGCAGCAGCAGCAGCCACAGGCCATTCAAAGTAGTGGACGACTCTCTTCTCCAACCTATCCACTTCACTCCTGACCAATAGGATCTCATTGCCATTAAGCCCTGAACTGAAACCGACCTGAGACCTCCGGGTATAGGGAGGTATAAAAACACAATAAAAAAAAAACTGGGATGGGATGGGGTGGTGAGGTCCCCCTATTCCAAACACCAATCATATCTCTGCCATGAACAACTCATATCACACCATGTACCTCCTTGCCCCATGGGAAGACTTAAGAATACTCACTTTCCCAAATGCTTATAAGCTTTGCTCAACCCAAGATTTTTGCCCTCTGTTACAGCAAGTAGAGTGGGGTGGCGTTCCCACCTTGGCTTAGCTGAACTCTTATTTACATTGCTGGTGGTTTCTGCAAAACCGCTAAACAGAAATGCTGGGGGGGGGGAGCAGTGTACAAAAAGTACACAAATCAAGATTAGGACTGATAACTGCTCAGTTATAACTATTCTCAAGTGGTTCCCAAACCCATAAGAAGTTCCTTGGCTCCTTTTGGAGGAAGGATGGGACAGAATACACAGCTGCCTCTTTCTCAGTGAGAAGAGTACATTTATTTTTCATACAAAAGGTCGTGGGTTCCAGGTAGGGTCAGGAAAAAGTCCTGTCTGAGAACCTTAAAACCCACCTCCAATCAATGTAGACTAAGAATGGAGAACCTGTGGTCTTCTAGATGTTGATGACCTCCAGCTTCCATTACATCCAGCCAACATGGCCCATGATCAGAGATTATGGGAGTTGTAGTACTATAACATCTGGGAGACCACAGGTTATCTATCCCCAATAGTGCCAATACTAAGCTAGGTGGACTAAGGCATGGGTAGGCAAACTAAGGCCCGGGGGTCGGATTCGGCCCAATCGCCTTCTCAATCCAGCCCGTGGACGGTCTGGGAATCAGCATGTTTTTACATGAGTAGAATGTGTCCTTTTATTTAAAATGCATCTCTGGGTTATTTGTGGGGCACAGGAATTCATTCATTATTATTTTTTTCAAATTACAGTCTGGCCCCCCACAAGGTCTGAGGGACAGTGGACCGGCCCCCTGCTGGAAAAGTTTGCTGACCCCCGGACTAAGGGCTTGACTCAGTATCAAGCAGTTTCCTATGTTCCTATACCATAGCCAATGGGGTGTCCTTTAGGTGTTGTTGGGCTACAAAGCCTATCGTCTCTGACCTTTCACCATACTGGCTGGGGCTGACAGGAGTTGCAGATGAACAGCAACTGCAGGGCAGCACCACAACAGCTATCTCAGTCCGATAGATAGATAGATAGATAGATAGATGATAGATAGATAGATACATAAATATAGATATAGATATAGATACACACACATATACATACGTGTAACTAAAGATATATGGGATGCATGAAGTGCTCCCAAACCTTTAAAAAAACACAGAGCAGCCCCGCCCCTGCTTGTATAGAACCATGAACACACTTAAGAGTCCCAGGGTGTTTTCGGCTGTGTCTCCTGCCTTTTAGTTTAGGTTCCAGGAAATGTTATCTACCCTACATGTCATTTGCTTTCAGTGGAACACATTGTACTAGTAAAATAATTAGGCACCGCCAGGTGTTGAATTTGGGACTACTGAACCAGGTCACATTGAGAGGTGACCCTCCTCATTAGAGATATCTCCCATAGCTACTGTTGTGTAGTCTGATAGTGCATTATGCTTTCGTGTCAGACACCGCAAGCAAATTAGTTCTTCGCAATAATCTACAATTAGGAGTGGTCCGTGCAATAACAAGCCTTCTTTCAACCAAACTGTGCTAATGCAGCCTTAATCCTTTTTTCTTTTTTTTAAGAGAAAGGAAGTGGGAAGGGAATCACTTTGGGGAATCTACAAGTATCACATTAGTGTTGCACCTCCAGATCATGATGGATACCAAATTGTGACAGGTGGAACAATAAGGCCAATCAGTGCATTATTCCACCAAAAGAACCCCAAAAGCAGAAAAAAACTACCATCTCAGAAGTCTATTGAGGAAGGGCTGTAACCTAGCAGTTGAGAACATGCTCTGCAAGCAGCAAATCCCGGTTCCTGGCATCTCCAGAAAAGTTTCAGAAAACCCTTGAGCCCCTCTGCCAGTCTAGTCAATGCCAAATGAGATGGGCTAATGGCCTGATTTGGTCTGAATCAGACTCCTACAGCCCATTTGTCTGGTTCAGACACATACAGTGGTACCTTGGTTTAAGAACAGCTTAGTTTATGAACAACTTGGATTAAGAACCCAGAAGTAGGTGTTTTGGTTTGTGAACTTTGCCTTGGAAGCAGAAAATGTTCTGCTTCCTGTTGAGTGTGTTCCATTTGTAAATTGAGTCCACTGCTGCTACGGGAAAGCACACCTTGGTTTAAGAACACACTTCTGGAATGGATTAAGTTTGTAAACCAAGGTACCACTGTACTTGGACGGCAACAGGCTATGCATGGTGAAGTAGGGGGCCATGCCTTGTTCCCTCAAGGAAGGAGGTGAATGAACAAGTCATTTGGGTGGAGCTGCTACATCACACACTTCCATAAGAAAGGGGAGGACACCATGCCTGCTCCTTCTACCACTCCCCAGCAAAGTAGCTGAAGCAGGCCACTTTCATGAGAACATGTAGTTCTTCACACAGTGCATATTTATGCAATTCTCTTCCACAAGATATAGCTTAGAGGTGTAGAAGTACATTATGACTACTAGTAAGAATGGCTGCAGAGAAGCCCAAGGTGCAGAGCCACAATATGACTCTGCTTGTGGCCAGTTGCTTGAAAGCAGCAAGGAATATGGCTGTTGCTTTCGTGCCCAGGCCTTCCTGGAAGCATGAGGCTTGCTATTTTGGGATGCTGGCATAGATGGACCTCTGATGCGATCCAGAAAGGCTCTTCTTTTAATAACTGAATGCATAGCTGGAAATGTTTCTGAAGGTTCTACTTCAGCAACTCAGCATGGCTAAACAAGGAAGTCCCTTTTCAGTTTAGAAATCTGCTTTCTTGATAAACTGCAACAATGGTGCAACAGAAACTTCAGAGACCTGGTCTGTTCCTTCACAAACCCCCTCCTTAAATTTCTAGACCACCTGCGCAACAGTCCTAGGCAGCCTGTACGTTTTCATCCTTCACAGAACTCCCAATGAACCATCAAAGAATTTTCACCTTCCATTTAAAGAAGGCAGAAACTCTTGTGGGGAAAATGATCTCAGAAAAAGGAACGTTTCAAAATTGTTGCTATAATATGGTTTGAAACACAGAAATAACTCTAAATAATTAGTTTGGATGGGGAAGGATTGCTTGTTGCCATAACAGTCTTGCCTCTGGTGGGATCTTTGCCAATATCAAGCCAACTTTAATTAGAGACGCACTCAAAGAGCTCTTGCCTTCCTTGGCTCTGTTTCAACCAATTCAAGCATGTTAAGCCTGCTCAACACTTCAAATCCTTCAGCGTAATGCATGAAATGCTTTCACAGCACTGGATAACCTTTAAGGGCATAGCCATCCCTTGACTGACAGGTGTTTTAATCCATCCTAGGGTGGCTGACTCTTGAATCAGCTACTGCAGCTATTATGAAAACCTCTGCCTACTGATTTCCACTTATCAAACCTATGTTTTCCTGCATTTTTCACCTAGTCAGTTGACAACCCTTACTCACTTTCCCTGGGATTGACCGACTGATCCCCCCAAAAATGCAAATTAAAGGCAGGTGCTTATGTAACACATGATAATTTAGGGCTTGTTTTGATAAAAGGCCCTCATCTCAGAAGACAAACTTCCTAGTCTATGCTCTGTCACACTCATGGGGGAACCATCTGAGGCTGAGGAGTGGAAAAGGAAAGGGCAGTGTTTTTCTTTCGCATCCCTGAACGGCACCCACCTTCTGACAGGTGTCTGCTGTTTCTCATTATTGCCTGGCCATAAATACTTCCAGGTCAGACCTTTGCCTGAGCTACAGCCTTTTGGTGTAGCTCCAAACAGGAGACTTCAACCTCCCTGGGACGATCAGCGCATTTGCAAACTGGACCAATCACTGTGGGCATCACACATAACAAGCAAGCGCACACCACAACCTATTCTATTAGCGACAAGAGAATGTTTCTTTCAAATCTAATTTCAGCAGGGGATAAACACAAAAAAGGCCTTTGTAGACTCATAGGTAGCTGTGGCACAAAGCAGAAAGTACTATAATTCAGCTTCAATACAAAAGCTACCAAGGTTGGAAGGGTGTTTTTTTATCTAAAAGATGCAGAACTACAAGAGGACTTCACATTTGCCTCATAACCATTTTTAAAAGGATAAGAATATCACATTTAGTGATAAGGCAGAAATCTTTGCAATCTATTCAGTTCTGATTCTCACACTTCCAGGAATGTGTGTCAAGTCTACTTCTATTAACTAATATGTCGAACAGGAAACAGCTTCAGATAAAAGGATAGGGTAATTATAGATCATTTCATGGAAGGAATTCTGTAAATTATTGAGTTACCTGGGAGTAAGCCGCAATGAACTCGACAGTGGCTTAACTTATGAATACACAATAACCTTAACTTCTGAGGATAGCATTTTGCTATATATATTGCAAAGGAGTATTTCAGACTGTACATTGGTACCTCGGGTTAAGAACTTAATTCGTTCTGGAGGTCTGTTCTTAACCTGAAACTGTTCTTAACCTGAAGCACCACTTTAGCTAATGGGGCCTCCTGCTGCCACTGCGCTGCTGCTGCACGATTTCTGTTCTCATCTTGAAGCAAAGTTCTTAACCCGAGGTAATATTTCTGGGTTAGTGGAGTCTGTAACCTGAAGCGTATATAACCCGAGGTACCACTGTAGTTCAAAAGGCAGATTTGCCAAGAGATTTATTATTTTATCTTATTGCTAAGTTAACAAGGTCTACCAGACAGCACTGGCAAGTGCCAAAGTCATTATAGCATTTCATAAGAATATATCATCACAGAACAAACAGGAAACAGAAATTCTCAGGAGACAAATGAGATCTCAACCTATGCACTTCAAAGATACACATGGAAGACAGATCTAAAATATACAATGTGTGGGTAATGCAGAAAGGGGATATGACACAAACTACCATTCAAATGCTCACTGGAAGGACAGATCTTGAAGCTTAGGCTCCAATACTTTGGGCTACCTCATGAGAAGAGAAGACTCCCTGGAAAAGACCCTGATGTTGGGAAAGACTGAGGGCACAAGGAGAAGGGGACGACAGAGGACGAGATGGTTGGACAGTGTTCTCAAAGCTACCAGCATGAGTTTGACCAAACTGCGGGAGGCAATGGAAGACAGGAGTGCCTGGTGTGCTCTGGTCCATGGGGTCACGAAGAGTCGGACACAACTAAATGACTAAACAACCACCACCACCATTCAAATGCATTTCAGCCTTCACACAAGAGAATGGGTAAAATGTAGCTCATAAATGGCATTTGCAAGCATTAAAGCTTCACAGGATTAACAAACTCTTTATTACTTAAGTGCTGGAGAAGTTGCAAGAAACACGGTTGACAAGCTACTATATATCTGCTGGACAGCTGAATGATATTAGGAACTAATTTTTGAAAGCGGCATCAAAAGCAATCCTGCCTTAAATACTCCAAAACTAAGTTTATATCATATTTTTAAGGGTAACCTATCCTGCATTCCCACAGAAATCTTGTAAGCGCTTACCATGCTAGCTGCAAGGAAGAGTCACAATACGACAGACATCAATCAAAGGTGTCAAAGGCAGTTTTAACAGACTAGCTTACAGAACAAATTGACTGGGTAAATGAGGGCAGATAATTTCACTGAAAACTGGTATCCATTCTAAGCTTATGTCATGAAGTAGCCAAGGTTACTAATTAATTTGAACCCAACATTAAACAACAATTTCATGTCCTGCCTAATGCACAATGTATCTGTTAGCTGCTATTAAGATGTGGGGGAGGGAAAATACAGTGGTAGAAGAAGAAGAAGAAGAGTTTGGATTTGATATCCCGCCTTTCACTCCCTTTAAGGTGTCTCAAAGCGGCTAACATTCTCCTTTCCCTTCCTCCCCCACAACAAACACTCTGGGAGGTGAGTGGGGCTGAGAGACTTCAAAGAAGTGTGACTGGCCCAAGGTCACCCAGCAGCTGCATGTGGAGGAGTGGAGACTCGAACCCGGTTCCCCAGATTACGAGACTTCCGCTCTTAACCACTACACCACACTGGTACCTCGGGTTAAGTACTTAATTCATTCCAGAGGTCTGTTCTTAACCTGAAACTGTTCTTAACCTGAAGCACCACTTTAGCTAATGTGGCCTCCTGCTGCCGCCGCACCGCCGGAGCACGATTTCTGTTCTCATCCTGAAGCAAAGTTCTTAACCCGAGGTACTATTTCTGGGTTAGCAGAGTCTGTAACCTGAAGTGCATGTAACCCGAGGTAGCACTGTATGTTATTAAGAGAAGGGGTTGAGGGAAGGAGCATGAAGTCTTGAGACTGCTGTCCAATTCCGGGAGATAACAACAAACAGAGCATGTTTGGCTGAAAATATATTCATTGGGTTTCCCTCTCTCTTCTCAGCTGCATATGCAGCTTTTAGTATAACTTTTAAAATAAGGAATACTAATTGTTATTTTCAATATTAAATAAATAAAGGTGCAGCTTCGCATTGATATTCAGCACATATGCACTTACCAAGCTTCAGGTAGCAAAAAGGAATATTCATGTGGAGAGGTGGTCTCTGGAAAATTAGAGAGAATTGCCAGCCGATGCGGAAGGAGGTCTGACCCATGGTATGTGAACAAAATCTCCAGGGCTCTTACATTGCTTTCCTGCACCAATAATTCAGTTTTAGTATTCATGAGACAGCTTATGGACCAGTCTGTTTAAGAAGTAACCATACACACACACACACACACACACACACACACACACCCCTCAAATTATGGCAGATGGCATAATTCTCATATAAAAAACCCACAGGCCAGAGTATTAGCTATCCATTCCCTTCTGCTCTGTTGATTTTCTTGTGCTGTTCAGAAACTAAACATATTTCATGAATGCTCTGAACGAAAAAAAATATGCCATTGGTGGTTTTGTTGGACCAAGGACACACCTACCATATAGTGGCTGAGGACAGGAAATTTACCAATGTGCTTTTTGGGGGAGGGGGGATTACAGGAGAAGACAGCAACTGAGCGGACTGAGAAGAAATCTAGGACAGATGAAAAGAAAACAAACAGCTGGGACAGGGGCAGCCAGATGGCCAGAATGAGGGAAAAGCAGAAGTGGGGTAAATACAAAAGGGAATCTTTTTTTTTTTTTTTTTTTTTACTCCCAAGGGCAAGAAGAGACGACTGGATAAATGAATATAAAGAAGGAGATGGAAGAAAACATCAATGAAGCACTCAAAGAAAAAACAGAGAGCAGTTACATCAGAGGTATCCATCTCGGACAAGGACAGGAAATGGACTGTGGCCAATAGCAATGAAGCAACCGCTACGTCTTCAGTTTTGGTGAATTCCCTTTCCTCAGCCACTAGATGACAGATGTCTCCCACTTGGTTCCCTCGCTGCAAGAAGCCAAGTTACAGGGAACCAGGCAGAGGGCCTTCTCGGTAGTGGCACCCGCCCTGTGGAACGCCCTCCCACCAGACGTCAAAGAGAAAAACAACTGCCAGAAATCAGAAGACATCTGAAGGCAGCCCTGTTTAGAGAAGCTTTTAATGTTTCATAGACTATTGTATTTTAATATTCTGTTGGAAGCCGCCCAGAGTGACTGGGGAAACCCAGCCAGATGGGCAGGGTATAAATAATAAATTTGTTGTTGTTGTTGTTGTTGTTGTTTGATGGCCTTTCATCCAAGGAATATATCTATTACTCATAGGTGGGCAGGGGGACTAATCCCAATGCCTGCTCCAAAGTGTTGTGTTCCAAGTCAGTCCTACTGCATCAGTTGATGTCACTGGGCCCAACAACTGGACACAATCATAGAATCATAGAGTTGGAAGAGACCACAAGGGCCATCGAGTCCAACCCCCTGCCAAGCAGGAAACACCATCAGAGCACTCCTGACATATGGTTGTCAAGCCTCTGCTTAAAGACCTCCAAAGAAGGAGACTCCACCACACTCCTTGGCAGCAAATTCCACTGTCGAACAGCTCTTACTGTCAGGAAGTTCTTCCCTAATGTTTAGGTGGAGTCTTCTTTCTTGTAGTTTGGATCCATTGCTCCGTGTCCGCTTCTCTGGAGCAGCAGAAAACAACCTTTCTCCCTCCTCTATGTGACATCCTTTTTATATATTTGAACATGGCTATCATATCACCCCTTAACCTCCTCTTCTCCAGGCTAAACATGCCCAGCTCCCTTAGCCGTTCCTCATAAGGCATCGTTTCCAGGCCTTTGACCATTTTGGTTGCCCTCCTCTGGACATGTTCCAGTTTGTCAGTGTCCTTCTTGAACTGTGGTGCCCAGAACTGGACACAGTACTCCAGGTGAGATCTGACCAGAGCAGAATACAGTGGCACTATTACTTCCCTTGATCTAGATGCTATACTCCTATTGATGCAGCCCAGAATTGCATTGGCTTTTTTAGCTGCCGCGTCACACTGTTGGCTCATGTCAAGTTTGTGGTCAACCAAGACTCCTAGATCCTTTTCACATGTACTGATCTCAAGCCAGGTGTCACCCATCTTGTATTTGTGCCTCTCACTTTTTTTGCCCAAGTGCAATACTTTACATTTCTCCCTGTTCAAATTCATCTTGTTTGTTTTGGCCCAGTTCTCTAATCTGTCAAGGTCGTTTTGAAGTGTGATCCTGTCCTCTGGGTGTTAGCCACCCCTCCCAGTTTGGTGTCATCTGCAAATTTGATCAGGATGCCCTTGAGTCCATCATCCAAGTCGTTGATAAAGATGTTGAATAAGACCGGGCCCAAGACAGAACCCTGTGGCACCCCACTAGTCACTAGTCACTATGCCAGTTCCATGCTAGCATAGCCTGAGCAGGCTTTTTCTGTCCCCCACCCACATCAACAGGGCTGTGGATGTAGCTCCACTTGGCGCCCAGCTAGGACTGGACTGCTTTGCCCATTACCAAAAGGGTCTCATATATTACCACTGGCGACAAATATGGGTGCAAATGGCCTCACTGACAACTTTCCCATATTTCTTCAGACATGACATCTGGTGCCTGGGATAAAACTGTGGGAAAAGTAACCTTAAGAGGCCCTATTATTCCCTCTCATCAGAGATAAACTACAAAAAGCATTACCTCTATTAATTACGGTCTGTCCTAAATGAAACCCATTTTTTCCTGCCAGACACGCATTGTACAAATAGAAAGGCAAGTCACGTCTCAAAATTTTGCTGTGAAATAATTTATACCCGAGCATATGTCCTTGCAGAAAGAACAATATTCTGATTCCGGAACTTCTTGAAGAACTCTGCGTCATATCTCTGTTCGGCAACGTGTGGCCCACCAAGAATTTCCTGAAGGAAAAATCATCGGAAACATATTACTAGGCTGATTGGTTCCTCAACAGAACACAACGGCCGCAATATAACAGACCCCATCAGGAAACTACTGAACCTGATCGAACACAGCAAGGCAACCAAACTCCCATTGACAATTATGTCCCTAGACATCCTCAAAGCCTTTGATTGCTTGGAGTGGAAATACATACTAGCAGTACTAACTAACATGAAATTCGGCCCCAACTTCCTACAAATCCTCAAACAAATATACTCCCAAGCCTCAGCAAAATGCAGAACTAACAATATGGATTCCTAACACTATAGCTATCCAAAGAGGCACGAAACAAGGATGCCCACTGTCTCCCTTCTTATTTATCCTGGCTCTGGAACCCCTAGCAATCCGCATCCGAGCAGCCACAGACATCAAGGGAGTGGAAATAAAAGGCAGAACCTATAAATTAGGGCTCTTTGCAGATGACCTAATGGTCACAACACCAGACCCCATAAGCACAGCAACCTCCCTAATCAGAGAACTCAACACATTTGCAATGGTGTCGGGCCTACAGGTAAATTTTACAAAGTCAGAAGCTATGTGCTTCAACACCCCTCCTCACACCCAAAAGAACTCACGAAGGTCACCAAAATAAAACTTTGCCACACCAAGTTCAGATACCTAGGGGTACAAATAACCAGAAACCTCAATAAATTGTACCTCCACAACTACAAGCCCCTGTGGCGACAAATTAACAAAGACCTAAAGAGATGGAATAACATGAACTTCACTCTCTCAGACAAAATAGCCATGATCAAAATGATCACACTCCCAAAACTAACCTACCTATTCCAAACCCTCCCAATCTGGATCCCCTCAACCCAACTTTGCAGTTGGCAGAGAAAACTACACTCTTTCATCTTCTCACATAAAAAACCAAGAATAAGCCCCAAATACCTGCACCTCCCCACCTCAGAAGGAGGATGGGGAATCCCCAACATAGAAGCATATTACAATGCCAACCAAATACGCCATATAATCCCATATATACTAGAAGATGAGACAAAACAATGGGTACACCTAGAGAGGGACACAATTGAAAACACCTGCACCACAACATACCCACTCCTCCCAAACAAACTAAAGAAAATTCCCACAACACTTAACAGGTACACACAGACCATGCTCAAAGCATGGAAAACACAAATAGGCAAACTATCCCCAACCCCATCCCCACTAATCCCCCTGGCGTACCACCCATTATTCCACCATGCAGCACAAAACCTCAAGATAAAAACCTGGCGAACCAAAGGCTTATATCGCCTAATAGACTTTTATAAAAATAACAAACCCTTGTCAACACAAGAAATACAAGACAAACTAGAAGACACCCAAATGCCCTGGTTAACACAACACCAACTACATGCCCTCTTAAACAACCCAACAGTAAAATCAGCAGCAACTAGGCCCCTGACAACCTTCGAAAACCTCCTCCTAACAACAAAGGGAAACGGTAAGGGACGGTATCCGCAATATACAAAATACTACTCCATAATCCCGCAAATCCCCTAGACGCAATCAAAAAACAATGGGAGAATGACATAGGCTATGAGATTAACCCCACTCAATGGACCAGAATGTGGTCTAAACCCCCCTTTAAATCCATATCAACGAAAAGAAAAGAACTCACACTGAAACTCACCTACAGGTGGTACCTAACACCAAGGAAACTAGCGCTAATACACCCAGGAACCTCACCAAAATGCTGGAGAGGGTGCACCCCACAGGCACATACCTCCACATGTGGTGGGAGTGTCCCAAAATCCAACTATTCTGGACAACAGCCATACAAGAAATATGTAAAATAACTAAGCAAGTAATAGACATCACCCCAGAATTGGCCCTACTAAACATCTTCCAAGACAACAATGCCCATTTACACCACAAAGAACTCATAACCCACCTGCTCTCAGCAGCCAGAAACACCATAACCAGACACTGGAGAGACCTGTCAGGAGTAAGCATGGACCAATGGTACCAAATAGTATGGGAAACAGCACTACTAGAAAAATTAACTAATAAACTGAAACTGACACGGGACAAACAGAAGAAGACGCCTTCACCCCGGTATGGCTCCCCTTTATCACATACACAGCCCAACAGGACAATGACAATAATCCACCAACAGCATACAAATCAATATGGCTAACCTGATCCAAAACACCCACCCACCTCACTCACACACGAAAACAAAGATCACCACAGCCAATCACAAGCAAACAATCACACCCTAGGCCAACCCCAACCTCTCTCACCACCAAAGGAACACAAGTGAACAACACAAGCAACGCTGACACCAAACTCTACATACATTAAACATAATAGAAACACCGCCACCCGACCCCACCCCTACCCATCTTCCCTCTCTCCACCCCCCCTTTCTTTTTTCTTTTTCTTTTTTTCCTTCTCCCCCTAATGCCTCAACAAATGAAATGGATTTGTAAAAATGTTACATGGAAAGAAAAAAAAATACGAGGCACCACACTTCTGTAAAACAAGAAAA